TTCTCTAAAATTATCTTTATTTTCTCGCTTTCTTTACACTCACAAATACAATTATCCGGTAGTGTTGGCCTGCCGGGCAGCCATCAACGCTGTGAAACCAACAAGTACTATATTTTACTCTTATTAAATTAAATAATAATTTAGTAGCTACAACAAAAAAAATACATATGCATTTCTTTAATTTAGAATTATGTGTCTACAATGTCTTTATTCAAAAAAAATTATTCATTATCAATAAAATTAAATAAGAGAAATAATTTCATTAGTTATATTGTCTTTATTTTTCTCCAATATAAAAATTCTTTACATTCAAATTTATCAATTGATTATATTCGCTACATTGTCCCTACAATGTCTTTATTAAAAAAAATTCATTATCAATAAATTAATTAAGAGAAATAATTTTATTAGTTATATTGACTTTATATTTCTCCAATATAAAAATACTTTACATTCAAATGAATTGATTATATTCACTACATTGTCTATTTTTTTTTTTTTGTGCACTATTTTTTAATTAAATATCAAAGTTATAAACTTATAATACAAAATAATGTTATATATTTATTTACCAAGTATTTTATTAATACCATGAAACTTTTTAAAAATATATAATTAATAAAGCCATTCATATTAACTACAGGATTTGTTGACAAAGAGAGTATTCAAATCACACAACAAATTGAAGTAAGATCTATCTTGCAATGTCCTTGTTTGATAATCAGCAGTTAGCGGTTAGCGTTAGCGGATTTGACTAGCGAATTATATCAATGGTTGGTAAAAAGATATTTGAAAAAATTAACTGTTTAGATTAACATGTAAAATGACCCAAGGGTATATATATATTTAATAATAATAATAATAATAATAATAATAATAATAATAATAATAATTGTTTTAAAAAAATAAAAAATATATAATTAAGCTAATCATATAAACTACTTGTGGAATTTATTGACAAAAAGAGTATTCAAATCACACAACAAATTGAAGTGGGAAACTACCTCACAATGTCCTTATTTGGCAATCCGCAGTTAACTCTTCAATATTAGTATATATTTAATATTTTATATCCTAATTTTTATTTGATCTCCCTTATGTCTCGTATTTGGTTTCAACCATACCAATACAATTATAATATTGACAATTATAATTAATCTTGACTATATTATCTTGCATTTGTAAACTTAGAATTACCTATTTAAATACGCAAATTCAACATTCAATTATCTATGCATGAACAATTTCAATATAATTTTGCCTAAATATACTTTAAAGTACTTATTTAAAAAAAAAATATTGGACATTATCCCAATCGCACAATGCGCGTAAAAAATTAGTTTTAAAATAATGGACAAACTATTATTCAAGCATAATGAAGAGAATTCCTAAGTTTAAGAAAACAAAAGAAATTGGGATCCTAAGTCTTTTGGTATCATCAAAATATAATTTACACTTGTTCCTAACACAGTACACAAACGAGAGATTTTCTCCTGTTCGTGTACTATGTGTGTGTGTATATATACACACACATACACATAGACATATTTACATACACAAAATTTGAAGAAAAAAATAAATACTTATATATGAACATATAAAATATGAAACTGAAAAAAAAAAAAAAAATCTTACATTAAGAATGATGGAGGTCGACAAATTAATCACTAGAGGGAGACTTGGGAATATATGTATTTATAAGGGTTTATAAGGGTATTTTTTTATTAATAAAAAATAGTTATTCCCGATGGGCTAGGAATAGCTAATACCAAGGGGGCTTTCAGAATTGCTATTCCATGGCTAAGGGAATAGATCATTATGTAGAATTATATATATTCCTTAATATAAAATTGAACCCATTATGGCCCGTTTGGTTTACGGAATAGGCCGGGAATGACATAGCATTCCCAGTAATAGACTTATTCCTTTGTTTGGTAACCATGTCTATTACCAGGCTTAATATTCCTAGTAATAGCCTATTACCTCTAATAAGGTAATAGCTATTACCAGGGCCCCCTGGTATTAACTTATTCTTGAGTCCTTAGGAATAGATTTTTTTTTTTTTCAATTTTAACCTTTATCATTTTCTGCGTTCTCTCCCCCATCTACAATTCCTTATCTTTGCAATTCTTTCTATCATCTACATCAACATCAAATTAAAGCTTCAAACAAAGGTAATTTTCTGAATTTTATTTTTTACAAATTAATTATTACTGATATTTAATACTGAATATTCATAGTAAGTAATCCATGTTCGTGGGCAAATTAAATTAGCACTGCATCAAGAAATTTGTAACAATCAATTCATACAACATCATTTTTCAAATTATTATTATACAGTAAATTGATCAACAATAATAAAGAATACTCATAATCCCATGCGTTTCATTACTCGTGGACAGAAGACGGTGATAACAATATTGTTTTGCATGAAAGCATACAACAAAATATACAATTATCAGAAACATCCCTCAGGAATGTTTCAGGGAACAAAAAACTCTGTGAACCACTTTTTTTTTTTTTAAATGCCAGAAAGCTAACCCGAAATCCTCGTTAACAAAGATCACATCAAGTGCGTAATTTTCTTGTCCTTGAACAGAAGCTTCTTCCAACAATGAACTCTCTTTAATGCCTTTCTCTTTTCTTGTTAAAATTCTTAAATTCCAAAGAGATAGATAAATTAATTCTCAGGCTTTTAGAGATAATTATGTGAAATGGCGTGAGAGAGATAGATAAATTAATCACTTGCAATTCCTTGTCAGCTTGAACTAATCACATCTCCTTGTATAGTGAAGATATGACTCTTAATTATGTGACAAGTTGTTGTAGAAAGACTCCTTGAATCAAGGATAATCTCTTATCTTGAACAAAACTCCTGATGCTTTCAAATTCAGTTGTTCTTTCACTTATTAGTAATATTTGTGTATATATATGTTAATTTTTATACAATATTGTTAATCACTTGTAATTCCTTGTCTGCTTGAACTACTAATAATAATAATAACAATAACAATAACAATAACAATAACAATAACAATAACAATAACAATAATAATAATAATAATAATAATAATAATAATAATAATAATAATAATAATAATAATAATAATACATTTTTTGTATAGGGGTATTTATGTCTTTTACACTCATATTCCATTTCTATTCCTTAAACCAATCAAACACTGAAATAACATTCCTAAACTCTATTCCTTCAACGGACTAAACAAAAGAATACAATTCTTATTCTATTCCTTGCCTATTCTATTCCTTATGGAATACTAATCCTATTCCTTTAAAATTCATTCCATGAACCAAACATGTTGTTAGTGAAATAGATATATGAACCAAACATAACGTTAGCATGTCCTCTGAGTGTCGTTGGTGCCCACAACACACTCCAACTTCTATTCCTTTTCTTTTTTTTTTTTTTTTTTTATTTTAATTCAAAAAACACTAAATTTTAACACAAACATTTTTTTCTCTCTTTCACATTTCTCTCTGCCACAAAAAAAAAAAAAAAAAAAAAAAAAAAAAAAAAAAAACAACAACAACAAAAACTCAACTTTTTATACCAATGGGGATGCTTTAATAGTAAGTTTTGCATTCTAATTAATGATGGGTTATCTCCTATCCGTCCAATGACACCAAGTTACTCCCTCAAGTGGGAGGTTGTGAGATCAAACCTTAGTAGAGACGTGACTCTTTTGTGATTCATTTGGTTGAAAAAGTAGTTATGAAACAGATAATGCATTATAATAGAGTTAATAGTATTCAAAACATTACATTTTATTATTATTATTATTAGGTATAAATCATAAGTTAATACCTAGATTGATGATATTGCTCTATGCCCATAACTTCCTCATCAAATTACTTATGACCATGTGTATCTCTGAAATTGTATGATAACTTTCTCATCAACTTACTTACGAAGTTACGATCATGTGTATCTCTTAAATGGTAGGTCTTTCAAGTTAATGTGGTATTTTTTAAAATATGCTTTTAAATATGACATTTAATTTGTTCAATAAAGTAGACTATATTTAATTTGTGTTTGAATTTTTAAATTAATATAAATGTCATTATTATATTATATTTTGAGAATAAATTAAAATTTTAAAGATGTAAAGAAAACAATATTGAATTACAAATATAATGATATGACAACATGATCTATTTAAAAAAAAATGGAGATTATAAAAGGACTTTAACACTAATTCAAGTGAAAAAAAATTGATGAATTAATAGTTTAGGCCATCTTTTAAATGGTCTATTAATAAAATGACCACTAAAGGATCAGAGTCAAGAGAGAGTGAGAGAGAGAGAGTAAAATCAATATATTCAATCTTCTACATATTGCAACTAATATTTGTTTAGGAAAAGCATAGTTTAAATTCAAAAACAAATTTCATAGTTCTAAGCACTATAATTAATTCTCATTTTTTGAACATCCTTTTACATTATAAACAACAAGAACAATTACAAGACCATACATGCATTTTCATTAAAAATAATATAAAATTTGTTTTCCACAGTTATTTTATATAATCAATAGCCAAAATATATTATATAATATTTCAATGCTTTTTAGTGATAAAATGACATTTTTCATCTTGAATTATACACAAATAAAAATTTTCCTCATCATCAAATGCATCACCACTTTTCATCCCCTAATTGTCTGCAAAGTAGCTTTTGTCATCCATCAATTGTGTTGCCGCTTTGCACACAATTAAAGAGAAAAAAATGCTAATTTTCAATAACTTATAGACGAAAAATGTAACTTTTTCTTTTTAAATTATTACACATTATATAAATGTTGTAATTCATGTTCATATAATTAATAAACACATTAAAATCCCAGCATTACACAGGTGAAACACTAGTTCCCTCTCAAACTAAATGGTCAACTTTAATAAATTTGTTTGAGGATTAGAAGTGATTTATATTATCTCTCTGTTGAGACAAGTTTTGAATTTGGCAATCAATATAACATGAAATCAAAAAAGCTAGCGACTTCATATCAATCACCCAATCCCATTATGAGTAGAATGACTAGAACAACTAAATTGACCGAAACATATAAGTTTTGCTAGGATAGCAATTGAAATTAAGATCACCACCAAAACCACGTTTGGTGTTATATCCAGGATAATCACTAAGCTTAAAATCTTCAGCTTTGACCAAATGAAGTCCCTGCTGGTATGCCAACCCAGCTATGTCCCATTCTCTGTGGAACCCATTAGACTTGTGTGTGATATGGATTTCACCATCCACACCAATCATCCTCACTGCATTTTCAAGAAATGGCCTCATAAGGGCTTGGTGTAAACTGCAAAAAGAACAGTACAATAAGTTACTATGTATAGAGTAACAGAGAAAAAATGAGTAGAATATATATAATAAGAACTGATCTGACAGCAGCTGAGATGAGCGAGATTTAGTCTTGAAAAAGCCAGCATATGGAAAGTTGAAAATTATACGATCGAATTTCAAGCCTTTTAGCAATGGATGGTTCGCCATGTCTGTAGCATCAACTCCGTGAATCACCTTACATCCCTTTCTTCTCATCATAGCAATGTTGGAAACAGCATTCGTATAATTTTCAGCCAAAAAAGCTGTAAAATTAAAAGAAAAATAAAGCTCAAAAGGCTAGGTTTTCAGGTTAATTGGTTGAAATGAATGCATATGAGAATCTTAGTTACCATGAGAGTCCAGAGAAGTGGCAACCATGTTAGAAGCGTCTCCGAAGGCAGTGGCAAGAGCAGCAGAAAAGGAGAAGTCTCCTTCTCCAACTAGGAGTATCGTTTGGGAACTACTGTACTGTTTTATCCACTTCTCATCTTCACCTAAAACCACACCACCAACCTTATTAACCATCTCTTCTCCTTGCTCTTCATCATCTTCTAATTCCTTGCTCTTATTCACCATCTCATCTTTTTCTTCTTCTTCTATTTCCTCACCCTCATTTACCATTTCATCTGCTTTCTGCTCTTCTCTTCCTTTTTCTTCATTCTGCTTCTCATCATCTTCTTCTAATTGCTCATCCTCATTTACCATCTTTTCATCTGCTTTCTGCTCTTCTCCTTTTTCTTCTTCATTCTGTTTCTCATCATCATCTTCTTCTTCTTCTTCTACTTCTACTTCTAATTTTTCACCATCATTCACCCTCTCATCTGCTTTCTGCTCTTCTCCTCCTTTTTCTTTATTATCTTCTTCTTCTTCTAGTGGCTCACCCTTATTCACCATTAATATCTCATCATCATCTGTCGGCTGCTCCTCTTTTTCTTCATTATTCAGCTTCTCATCTGCTGCTTGCTGCTCTTCTCCTTTTTCTTCATTCTCATGCTTCTTTTCTTCTAATTGCTCACCCTTAGCTGCTTCCTCTTCTTCTTCATTCTTCTTGAACCCGCTAACACAACAGAAGAAAATACTAACAAGTTTTTCTTTTATCATTTCTATTCTCATCATCAATATTGCTTTGCTTAATTGCTCTTAAGTCTTAATGATCGTCTATGCCATTATAGGGAACTGCTAATAATATAGGGGATTCAACTTTAGGAAGAATAAACAGAATATATGCATGCAATTCTCACTTACCATAGTTAATTTTTACAGCTTCCTTTTGCCTTTTACAATTCCCAGAACTGCATCTTTTCACTTTAATCCATGTAACCAATAAATGGAAAACAGAAAACCAAAACCAAAAAACTATGGAGTAGAAAATACAAAAGGAAAAATGAAAAATGACACTTTTGTCCTGAGTTATTCATTTATCCACATTTATCTCCTTAATTATTTTAAAAGTTATAGTTTTCTCCCTTTGATGTTAAATGAACATTTTTATCTTTAAAATAATTATGTTGGATTTGAACCAAGCCAAAGACTATAGCAACTGAACTGAAATAGTAGGGATGATTCTTGTTACTATTCAGAACTAGAAAAAATAAAATAAAATAATTGTTGAATTTAGGTTATTTTTAAAATAGAAAATAAAAATAAATAAATTTTGAACCGGTGGTTCAAACAGAATCTGAAATCAAAATAAATGCATACCAGAACCGAACCGATTTATAAACACCGTTTGTAAATGATAAATTTGTTTGGTTCCGGTTCACATTTATTCTAATTCTAGTTTCAGTTTGAATTGCCCGTTCAAAATTTATTTATTTATTTATTGTACATTCTACTTTCTATTTTAAAAATAACCTAAATTTGACAATTACGTTATTATTTTTTTATTTTTTATTTTGTTTTTGAATTGTAATAAGAATCGTCCCTGTTGTTTCAGTTTGGTTCGCTTCAAATCGAACAGTAATCATCCCTAAATATAATGTCCAGCGAGATAGCGGCCCATCTATCACGACCTGCTCATTGAGTGAATAATGTGAACCTGCGGCAACATTTTCTGATGATTCATCCTCCAAGTAAGGAACGACAAACTTCTTCATATCGCTTTTAGAAATCCCCAGGTGATTTCCAGACACGTTGACAAACTTCACCCTCCCAGCATCATCCAACGTTTTCAAACCAATCCAGTCCTCGACATAAAGCTGTGTCTGTGAAAGCAGGAAACCATAAACAAATCTGGTTGCATTTCGGGTCATAGAATTTATTTTGGCAATTTAGCACATATCTTCATTTTTTGCAGATTCAAGGGTCATTTGGTATAGCCAGCAGAGCTCAACTTTAAAGACTTTTATAGAATTTAAAAGTTTGGAGTATTTAATTAAAATTTTTAAGGTTCTCCTCTACTAGGGTTTCTCCTAGGGTTCCCTACGGTATTCTTGTGCTTTCTACGGCAATCTTGGCCGGTTTTACTGCTGCGGTATCGGACTGCTGTGACGAGGAAGGCGACTGCGTCTGGCTCCGGTGTGTCGATGGCGTCCTCATCGAGTCACGGGATGGTGGAGGAAGTTACGAAGAGTTGGGTAGATATGGTGGTGTTGGACGAGGAGGAGGCGGGGTTTGCACCGGTGTTGGATGACGAGGAGACCACGACGGCGGCCGGAAAGCAAGTCTGGTCCCTAGTAGGCCGCTTCTTGACGCGGAAACTAATCAAGGTAGAATTCATGCGCGAGGTCCTGGCATCCGTATGTCAACCGGTGCAGGGTGTTCAGGTAACGGAAATTCAACCGCATTTGTTTCTCTTCGTCTTTTTTCATAAAACAGACATGGAGCGTGTGCTGGAAGACGGTCCTTGGGCCTATGATAACGCAACCCTAGTATGTCGGAAAGTTGTTGATGGTGTGCTGTCGGAGGATGTGGTATTGGATACGGTGGATATGTGGGTGCAGGTGCATGGACTACTAGTGGGCCATACATCTGACAAAATTCTTGAACAGGTTGGTAATTACCTTGGTACTATTATTAAGGGTGATGACCGTTTTACGAATGTCCCGTGGCGGGTATTCTATCGCATTCGTGTGGCTAATCCTGTAGAAAAGCCTATTAAAAGAAGTAGGAATTTGTTAAGCGAGATAAGTCAACATGCTGGGTATCGTTTAAATATGAGCGTCTCCATAATTTCTGTTTTTATTGTGGGCTGCTCGAGCATCTTTCCAAGTTTTGTATACATGCCCGGAATGCTACTATCCCGGTTGTGGAGTATCCGTTCTTGGCGGAGTTGAGGGCGGGTTCACGCCAAGGCCCGAGAGCGGTGGGGGTCCTCGGGGAGGGTTGGCTCGTGCCGGCGGAGGGTAGCGTGGTGGATGGCGGGGTTGGACGGAGTGGTGGTACTAGTAATCTGCCGCATGAGGTACGGGGTGCACCAGAAGTGCACCGTGAAGCTGAAACAGCTGTGGAGGCGGTGGCCAAACGCCGCCGTGAGGAAGGGAGTGGTGATGTTACAATGATTGATCTGTCAAAAAACTTGCATATGGCGGGTACTGGTTCCCAGGCCCGCCCATCATCATGAGTACCCTAAGCTGGAACTGTCGTGGCTTGGGTAATCCACGAACAGTTCGTGAAATTGTGGACATGGTGTCCCGTAAGAAACCTGATTTTGTATTTTTAATGGAAACCAAGGTTGGTGGGGATCATGCTGAACGACTCCGGGTCAAACTTGGTTTTGATGGTCTCTTTTATGTTGACAATACTGGACTGAGTGGCGGATTAGCTTTATTATGGAAAACGAATAATACGACAAGATTATTAAGTTTCTCGAAGAATCATGTAGATGTGGAGGTAAATATCCCTGGTTTTGATAAATGGAGAATGACAGGTTATTATGGCTTTCCTGAGCCGACAAGGCAGAGTGACTCTTGGGATCTCATCAAATCTTTATCTCACATATCTGACCTCCCCTGGGTTGTCATTGGAGATTTTAATGATATCTTTTTTCAACATGAGAAGCGGGGAGGGAACCCACACCCAGATACACGGCTGCGTGGTTTTGGGGACACGGATGATGATTGTGATTATTCCAATTACCAATTATGGGTTGTCCATATACATGGGAAAAAGGACAGGGAACGACAAAATGGATTGAGGAAAGGTTAGATAAGGTGTTGGTTACTCAGGGGTGGCATGACATAGTAAGAGAAGCTAGTGTTTTGAACATTTTAACCCGAAATTCGGATCACTCTGCTCTTTTCCTTGGGATTCTGAATCTTCGGGAAAGGAGGGGTGGTGGGAAGAGAGGGTTCCGCTTTGAGATGGCCTGGCTTCATGATGAGGGATGCAGGGATGTGGTGGAGAAAACGTGGGACCAGGAGAGGCATAGGGGGTTGCAGGATTGTATTGAATTATGTGGAAGTAGTTTAAAACGATGGGGAGGTGGTCGTTTCCATAAATTTGGTGAGCATGCTATGAATCTCCGGAAAGAGCAATTGCGATTACGGGGATGCATAGATAAGGCATCTCTTGCTGAATTCTAACGCCTGGAGGAGTGTCTGTCTCGTGTTGAGGCACAGGAGGACACATACCGGAGGCAGAGGGCCAAGCAACACTGACTCAAGGACGCAGATGCAAACACCAAGTTCTTCCACAGGTATGCTTCTCACCGTAAAAAGAAGAATACTCTTTCTAAAATTATGAATAATGAAGGGGATTGGGTGGAAGGGGAGGCCATGAGAACTGTTATTCTGGATTATTGTCATAATATTTTTAGCTTTGGCCATTCTGGGAATGATGGGGATTTTTTTGGGAATGTTTTGCCCCGAGTGACACAGACGCAGAATGATCCATTACTGCGCCCGTTTGAGACTGAAGAAGTGAAATCAACGTTATTTGCCATGTTCCCGGATAAAGCACCAGGTCTGGATGGAATGAATCCGGGTTTTTATCAGTATTTTTGGGATGTGATGGGAGGAGATGTGTCGAATTTTATTGTGAATTGCCTTAATACTCGTTCCTTCCCGGATAAGTTGAATGATACAGATATTGTGTTAATCCCCAAGAAAAAAAACCCTGAGTTGGTCTCTGATCTTAGGCATATAGCATTAAGTAATGTGATTTACAAAATTATGGCCAAGATGATTACAGCCAGGATGAAGCCATTGATGGAAAACATTATATCTGATACGCAGAGCGCTTTTATACCTGACAGATTGATCACTGATAATATTTTAATTGCTGCGGAAGTTGGCCATTTTTTGAATAGAAAACAGTGTGGTATGACTGGGTGGGGAGCTCTAAAATTGGATATGGCAAAGGCTTATGACCAGATGCAGTGGTCCTTTCTGCATAATATGTTATTATCTCTGGGGTTTTATAATAGGTGGGTGGATCTCATTATGTTGTGTGTTACTACTATATCATATAATATTTTGTTGGATGGCTCTCGTAGCCTACCTATTACCCCGGCACGTGGTTTAAGGCAAAGGGATCCTTCGTCCCCGTATCTCTTCATTATCTGTGCTGAAGGGCTTTCTTTATTACTACAACAAGAACAGGCTCATGGAACAATACATGGTTGTAGAGTAGCAAGGGGTGCACCACCTATCTCTCATCTGTTTTTTGCTGATGATAGTTTATTATTTTTTTAAAGCAAATACTCAGGAGGCTAGAGTAATTAAGCATTGTTTGACATGGTATGAAAAATTATATGGACAAGTGGTGAATTTCCACAAGTCTAGTATATGCTACAGTAAGAATACACGGGAAGAAGACATGGATGATGTGGCACAGATTTTGGGAGTGGTCCAGGCTCCTAATTTTGGTAAATATTTGGGTCTTCCATCCTTTGTAGGAAGGAATAGAAAGACAGCTTTCTCATATATTGAAGATAAGATCAAGCAAAGAATTGGTTCATGGAATAAAAAATTGTTATCACAGGTTGGTAAGGAAGTCTTATTGAAAAGTGTGGCTCAGGCTATGCATACTTTTTCAATGAGTGTTTTTTTATTACCTGTAGGAACTTGCACGGCTATTGAGCGAACCATGAATCGGTATTGCTGGGGATCTGGGAATGACCGTGGCATTCACTGGAAAGCGTGGGATAAATTATGTATGCCAAAGAAACATGGGGGCTTAGGATTTAAGGAGCTACGTGCTTTTAACCTAGCAATGTTAGGCAAGCAGACATGACGTTTCCTTACTAAGCCTAATTCCTTGGTCTCAAGAATGTATAAGGCCAGATATTATCCCAGGGGAACTTTTTTTTATGCTAGCCTAGGAAATAATCTCAGTTTCTGTTAGCGTAGTATTATGGCAGCTCAGGACATGGTATGTGGTGGAATCAGACGCATAATTGGGAATGGAGAAACAACTCTCATTTGGGAGCACCCGTGGCTCCTAGACGAACATGACACCTCATTTGGGAGCACCCGTGGCTCCAAGACGAACATGACTCAATGATACAGACAGAAACAGAAAGAATACCCTATTACATGACACCTCATTTGGGAGCACCCGTGGCTCCTAGACGAACATGACCCAATGATACAGAAAGAATACCCTATTTGGCTAATGCACCAGTGATTGTGGTATTGGCATGGAGATTAGAGGGGATAGTTGGATTGCACATTAATGGTCATATACTCAATACGCGCCCTCAAGTGTGCGGTAGGTTCCAAGTAACACATGGACCGTAATCACTTATCGGGTGACATAGAGAGTCGAACCCATAACCTTTGGTCTGGCTCTGATACCAAATTAAAGCATGTGCTCCATCTCAACTAAAAACCTAAGTTGATAGTTGGATTGCACATTAATGGTTATATGCTCAACAGACACTATGCATGCTCTAGTTATGTGTGACTATGCAAGTTCCATTTGGACCCAATCCCACCTTCCAATCCCCACGAATGTCACAAATGTTTTTCATACTTGGTTTAGTGAATTGTTGAATATTTTAGACACTGATGAGGTGATCTACGCAGCTGCAATTCTATATTACATTTGGAAGGCCAGAAACGGTGCGGTATGGGATGCATGTCTACAACGACCACAGAAAGTTCTAGTTGCGGCCACCGTGGCGGTACATGCATGGAGACAAGTGCACCCCCAACGGAACAGGCTTACCGTGGCTGCACCGCTTGTTGGCCCGGACTCCACCACAGTCACGCCATCTCACAGCCGGACGTTGAACCGCCAACAGCGGGTTGCTACTGCTCAGCGCACACCGCCACTGCCGAACCCCAGCACGGCGACACCAACAGGATCGAACAAGTGTTACTTCGATGCTGGTTATTGGCACGGTGTAGACAAAGCCACCGTCGGGGCGATAATCCTCAACAACGATGGAAGGTACGTCTCGGCTTTCAGTGCTCCACTACCAAGCTGCTCCTCCCCACTTATGGGTGAGGCTCTTGCATGCAAGGAAGTCTTGTCATGGCTATGGGATCGTGGGGAACGATCGATAGACCTTTTCACAGATTGCTTAACACTACAGCAATACCTGACATCTGCAACTACTCCTATCCTGTCATATCTCGGTTATGCTATTGATGCCTCAAGAGCTAGTATTGTCTCGTTTAATTATTGTTCAGTTGTTTATATTCCTAGATTAGATAATTATTTAGCTCATACCTTAGCTTCGCCTGCTTTTACGCACTCTATTGCTATGTACTGGGAATCTGTCCCTCCTGACTCTATCTCAGAGTATTTTGAACAAATGCCATATTGGCTCCTTTCAAAAAAAATAATTAAAATTTTTAAGGAATCTTTAAAATTTATATTATATTCAATTAGAATTTTTAAAGAGTCCTTAAAAATTGAGTGGTATTCGATTAAGACTTTTAAAGAGTCATTAAAAGTTAGGCCACATTTTAAAAGTTATGAATTTTTGTAATCTTTTTAATTTTATGAGTTTTTGTAGTTTTTTCTTTCTCAAATATAAATCGTTGGCCAAACACCTTATGCTCAGATGACATGTAATGACCTCTCCCATGTGGGAGGTCATGAGATCGAATATTACAATGCAATAGAGTCAGGAGCATTCAAAAAAAAATGAATATTTTCTCTCTCTATTTTTTTCCTCCATATTTAAAATTTATAAACCTTATACCTAAATTCAATAAATTATTTTTTCTTCATTATCCTATATTTTCTTCATACTAAACTCTACCAATTTTTTCTCTCTCATAAACTTTATAATATTCCTCTAAAAATTCAAAATAATATTGTTTTTACTTCTGCTTGTATATTTTTATTTTTTATTATTTTCTACGAACTTTCTATCCTTAACTTTTAAACTTTCTCTATGAACTTTTCTCCCTAACTTCTAAACTTTCTTTATGAACTTGTTCTCCCTAAATACATAACAAAGCAAAATTTTCATCAATCACCATGAAATTTTACTATATGTTTCATAACATTCATATAAATACTTGTATATTTTGATTTTTAAACTTTTTATGTTTATATACACATCAGCTCTGCCTAACTGACCAAGTCCCAGAGGAGTTTCTTCCCCCAAATCAGCTCTCACATTTTCATCCTCCTGCATTGGAGCCTTATCTGGTCTGCCCCCTGGGGCCAAACTTGGTTTCTCGGGAAACTGGCCCTGAATTGATGATTGTCCTGGTGAATTTCCCATGATTGGGGGTGTTGGCCGATTGAATCTAAGGAGTTGCAGCAGCTCTTCTCGCAGGCTCCCAAATTGGGTAGAAAGATTGCCCACCTAGGCAATTAGGTTACTGATGTAGTCTTGTGTTGTAACACCCCACTTTTCTTAATCTAAATTCCCGAATACTTATCTTAATAAGATAAGCTAAGCAAGAAAATAAAAGAAAGATTTAACAACTTAAATCTATTTAAAACCATCCAACAGGTGTTACCGCCATAGTCACCACTCGAGGTGATTGCACAGGCTAAAAAGGTAAATAACTAAGCAGTCAACTTCAATAAAACCTTAAAGTTGGGGTTACAGCGCCGGTGTTCCACACCAACAAAAAGTAACTAAACATCCAACAGTCGATAAAAGTCTAACATCAATATAAGTCACTGGTCAAAATAACAAAACATAAGCAAACTAGGCTCTAAAGCTCATCTACGCACTAACTACTCTCGTGCGCGCTCAACAACTGGGCCCACTTGAAAGGAGTTACAAAAACATTTGAATAAACCCGTTAGCACAAGGCTAAGTATAAAACCACTCAACCCTGTAAAGTACTATAGAATATAGATTTTGAAAATCATTTGGCAAGTATACATAATCTCAACACTTTCAACACTTTAACAACATCTGAACAAACTCATATTCAATTCTATATGCTTGCAACCTAGTTAACAAGTAATCATATTTTCACAAATACTCCACTTAAACAGAATACTCATGCTCCAACGGATAGGCAAAGAGATACTAAATAACATAACCAACTATCTCATGCTTTCATACTAAACAACAAACAATCTCAAAGCTATAATGCCAACTCAACTACAACAACAAGCTATATATCTCAACGTACTTTATATGCAACGCATGCAAATCAAA